AGAAGCCAAATAGGAGAGTTGAATTGGGGACGTGGTAAAAATCACCCTCCTGCATCTTTCAAATCATGGACGGTGGCACTAACCTCTGTGATCACTCCAGGGACGTGGGACTGCTTTTAGTCTACTATTTTCCTAGGTTTAGGCAATTCTAATGATTTCCAGAGAGATTTTCACATCATAACAGGCCTTGCTTCGGAGGTCAGGGAACCAGGGTAGGGACCAGTGTAGGGATTCTTCCAGCTGCTAAGTATGTCTATTCTAATTATCCATTCTGGAACTGGGGAAATAATAATCCACTGTGAGAGAGACCTGAGCTAAAACTCCCTTGATCACCTGACCTCCGTAAGCTCTTATGCTGCTGGAGGGCCATGGTGAGGTTCTGGGTGTCCTGGAATCAGTGTCAGTTCAGAGCCAATTCCCAGTTGTCCACAAAAGATTTGATCATTTTCTTTTTTACAGTGCACAGTTACCCTTGTAAGAGGCAGTAGGTCCCTCTGGGGAGGCTGGGAGAGAGATTAATAGTATAAATTTTCAGTAGTACAATCACTTTCTTGAGGAAATCTGACCTCCCTTTCACTCAAGGGAGTCTGGGTCTATAAACTGGCTCGAGTCTGGGAATTGATTGAGGCACTGAGAACTTTCTGTTTTTATGATTGAAATTAGACTTTTGCTCACTTGACCTAGAACTTTTCTTCTTACCCAGATCAAGTAAGAATTCAGTAGGCTTCCCATCTATTTCCCTTCTGGGACCACCACGATTAGCCAACAACACAGGTCTGTGCAAGTCAGGCTATTCTGACTGCCGCTTTAACTCGGCTGGCAGTCTGTTATCATCACCATGCCCACTTGCCTCCCATGGCTGAGAGCCACCAATTGGCCCATTCTGCCCTAGGATCCAATTATTCCCATTGCACTTGGGTTCTCATCAATTAGGTGGCTGCAGTTCCCACTGAAAGGTATGGCCTGCAGAGAAGAGCAATCACAGAGCTCTTCAAGGATGCTGGGGCTCCCCTAGCAAATTTATTTGTCAAAGTATCAGTGAAAGAAAAGTACCGGTGGGAAAAAAAGGTGAAAGAAAAGTATTGGTGAAATAAATAAAGGGTCTTCTGGACTGTCTCAGCATGGGTGAGTAGGTCCTAAATGATAAATGTGTTCTAATCCACATTCTAATCTACCTAGGCCTTTGAATCCCTTCCCCCTACATTAAACCAGGGAAGGTCAAGCATCTCCAGTTCGCTCACGGTGGGCTATCTTTTGATTGATGTTTCAGCCAACCAGTCAAATTGCTAGAGCCCTTTCTAACTCCCCAAGCTGCAACATTACATTTAGAACCTCTGTTAAGTGAACTTACATCAGTAAATTCAGCCTGACTCACCTTTATGTTCCTTCCACCATTACTCCACCCCCTTAATATCCATTTTTACCCCTGTTCTCTAGATTTCTGCTTGTACAAATTAGAAAACTCAAGTAGTTCTTTTAGCATGCAGTATACCTTTCCATGGGTCACATTTTGTACCTCACCTTTTGGGGCCTTCTGGGACTTGAGTCTAATGATAGGTGTAGAAGCCAAAGGGGGTGGTGGAGGTGGGTCCTGAGTTAGCATCGTCTCACCTGGCAACTGCCTCAGGGGAAGCTGTTACTGCTTCCTCGGGCATCACAGGTTTAATCCCCTCAGATAAGGTGGAAAGGCCTATAGCACCAAGTTTGGGGAGGCCACTTCCACTAAGACGACTCCTCAGAATTTAGGAGACCAATCCTTAGCTTCAGAGACTTCATCAGAGTCTTCCCAACTTACGGGATCCCATTCCTTCCCAACCATCATCCTTGCTTCAACAGTAGACACCCTGTGAGGCTGGGAGTTCAACTTGCATTGTAATTCAGCCAATTGCAGGGTGAGATTGCGCATTTAATTTTCAGAAATTTCAGCCCTGCAGCTACCGGCTAAAGGCTCTCCCTTCAGAGCACACCTAGTTCTTTGATCATTTATGCAGTTCTTGAGGTGGGAATTCAAATCCCTGAGCTCATCCTTTTCCTCTACCACTTTGTCCAGAGACGTTAGGAGCAAGCAACCAATGTCATTAAACTCTGTAGCTCTCCAAAAATGTTTCATCCCACCTCCTGGGAATTGGCTCTGAACTGACACTGATTCCAGGACACCCAGAACCTCACCATGGCCCTCCAGCAGAATAAGGTCTTACAGAGGTCAGGTGATCAAGGGAGTTTTAGCTCAGGTCTCTCTCACAGTGGATTGTTATTTCCATAATGGATAATTAGAAAAAATGTTTCAGCATCATAAACAGGGTCACTTAGCTCCTTGCTTTTTACATGAGTAAGTGGTTGATTAGGCATATCCAATGCAGATTTTTTTGTATATGTCTATAAACAGTTCATGCCCTGGACTACCAGTGTTCTCCTTCCCATTAGAAATAGGGCCATTAGCATTTTTAAATCTAGTCAGATTAAAGAGCCAATTCCAGAATTCCCAGAACCAATTCAGAAAGGTCATCCTTGAAATTCTTTTCTTCTGGAATCACTCTTGGTACCAAAATTTTCTGTCTTAGTCCATTCGGCCTGCAAAAGCAAAATACCAAAACCTGGGTGGCTTTTAAGTAACGAATGTGTTTCTCACAGTTCTGGAAGCTGGGAAGTCCAAGAGCAAGGCACTGGCAGACTCAGTCTGGAGAGAGCCCACCTCCTCACAGACAGCTGTCTCGCTATAACCTCATGTGGCCTCTGGGATCTTCTTCATAAAAGAGCTAATTCCCATTCATGAAGGCTTCCCTCCCATGACCTGATCACCCCCCAAAGATCCTACCTTCTAATATCACCACCTTGGGGGTTGGGATTTCAATATACGATTTTGGAGGGGAGGGGAGACAGAACATTCAAAGTATAGCAGCAAATAAGCCAGCCTGGCCAATCAGCATAACCCATCCTCCTGGCCGCATGGCCGAATGTGACTGTGGCTCCAGTCGCTGGGGTTGCAACACTGACATGAGGTGCTGCAGCTACTGTGCACCCCCTGGAGAAAAAACAACATAGAGGAAGCTAAGCCAAGAAATGGAGAAAGACGTCCCTGAGAACCTTATTTAAGCACTTTGATTCACTGTGCCTGAAGCCAGGTCTGGCCTTAGGGCTTTTCAAATTCAAGGACCAAAAAATTTCCCTTTTCATAGAAGCCAGTTTGAGTTGAGTTTCTATCTCATGCAAAAGAAAAACTCAACAGCTACTGACAGTGGGGAAAACACCATCCACTTGGCTGCAACTTGAGTATCTAGTCTCTTTGTGCCTGAACACGCAGAGAAGCCACTCCTCCCCCAACTTCCCTGCCTGTTTTCCTGGGGATGAGAGAAGAAATTGTGCTACAAGGGCCAAGGGGTGGGATCTGAGAGAACATGACAAACAACCTCAGACTTTGCCTCTGCAAACAGGCCTGCATGGAATTTGGTTGCTCATGTTTCTTAGAGTTCTTAACCTCCAGTATCACATTTTCCAATCGAGGCTATTTGTGTTGCTATGGCAACAGACATGCCCTCCTCCCACCCCAATTTGTAGCAAAATGGCAGATGACCACTTGTTGTACAAGGCCATCAGGAGTCACAAAAATTCAGTGACAGAAGACAGTCACTACTTACTTCAGGCAAGTGGAGGTCAGAAGTCAGGTCTGAGTGAGTAACAGGACCAATAATGGAGATAAAATCAATGGGGAAAATTCCAGAAGGGTAAACCAACACAAAACAAAGGAAGAAAAGGAGAGGTGATGGCTGCCCATGGGGTATGCCAAATACAGTTCATTACTGAGCAATGGACGACTGTGCATAGGGCAAAGTCCCACCAGTTAGGACAGTTTTGGCTGCATGTGAAAGAATGCCCCAAATAATGAGACTTCACTAAAAGGAACTTCTTATCTCACCTATCCAGTCTGGGAATAAAAGAGCTCAGACTTGGCTGCAGGTCATTAATGTCATCAATGACACAGGTTCCTTCAGCTCTTCCATTCTCCATTCTCAGGGTGTCAGCAGTGTCTCCCTCATTGACCCAAAAGGGCTGCCACAACTCCAAGCATTATATCCATCCATAAAAAATGCCCAAGAGGACAAAGAAAGGGATGTCTCTTTCTTATCAGAAAGAAAAATCTTTCCTAGAAGCCTTTTTCATTCTTCCTCCATTAGCAGGATGGGATCACATGCTCATTCAAGAGCTACAGAAGAGCCTGAGGAAACAAATGTCAAGCATTTTCAGCTGCTAGCATGAGATGTAGCCTCTGCCAGAAGAAAAGAAGAGGGTGAGGGCTGTGAATAGCTATTAGGTAGACAGCCAACAATGTTCCCCAAACTTGAGACACACTTGTACCAAAACTTCTATCATACTGTCATTCTCTTAACAGTTCCCTTAAAACAATTTTTCTTTTGTTTGACCTAAATATCTTTCCCTAGGTAGGAAATTCTATATCCCTACCATAGATGCAAAAATGCTATTAGATATATTTTTCCAGACCATATCCAAATAAATTCATAATGTTTAAAACAAAAACCCTTTGATCATTTTACCCATCAGTATCTCTTGTCCCACCAGCAACAGTCCTACTTTTTAATCCAGAGTAGCAAGATAAAGTTATTTCCTCCTGATTCTTGGACCCTGATATTAAAAACTCCCTAACAAAGAGCTATATTGTACACGGAAAAGTACCACCTAAACTACCTTTTCATAGTCGCACTAATAAGTTCCTGCCTATGGCTCCCCATGCCCCAGCTGTTAAGGCAAAGACATTTTGCCAAACCATAGTAGGGGAACTAGCTGGTTTCCTACACAGCCACATCCCCTCTCAAATATTAACATGTTTTTTCCACTAAAAGGATAACTGTCTTAAAGCCTCTAGGGTCCACCCCATGCGTTAAAATGCAGACATCCCCACCGATTTTTCTAAGCATGCTCACTCAGATTTATCCAAAAGGATGCACTGACTGTCAACAGAAAAGTGGCCAGTGCCCATTACTTACATCAGAGGCTGGGCCCTTGTCAGCGCCAGGGCAGGAGAATGTGACAAATTCATGGCACCGCTTGTGCACAACAAAGCAGCAAACTGCAAAAGAGAAAATAAGGGTGGGAGAAAGGGCAGAAGGAAAGTGGAGAAGAGGAAGAGAGAGAAAGGGAGGAAGAGACCATTAGACCCGGGCTTCACCAACAAGTAAAGGCTTTACACCAAAACAAACAATCACTTTGTCTCTTGTCCTTTGTTGAAGTCAAGCTCTGGGGTACACTGATTTTGCATCTCATACCAGAGTTAAACTTCTAAAGTTAGCCAGGGTTCAAAAGATCCCATATGCTCAGAACTACACTCTCCTGAAGATCCCTTAAAGTGTCTGGTCTTCTATTGATTTTGGAACAGAATGTTGTTTCTCAGATCAAGTGCCAGATGAAGTAGTTGGCTTGTGTTTAAGTCCATAATGCCTAAGAAATACATATCTTTAAACTCTAGAATCACACTTTGAGAGATGTTCGTACTGGGAAGGGCGTGGAGAAACAGTGAGGGAGGATGGAAGATTTGTGCCTCCATCTCACCAGAATCAATGTCAACCAAGTGGAAGAACAGAGGAAATCAGGTGCAGTGTTTACATTGTTACTTCAGTTCACAACCAAACTGTGTGTGTGTGTGTGTGTGCGCACACACATATATTTGAAATGCATCTACAGTATGGCTCCAGCATTTGGAGAAGGGACAGTCAAAGAATAAATAATACAAAATAAAATTGACTACTTTGTTTCAAATTTTCTTCTACAGCTTTGTTGTTCAAGTCTTCATTTACAACCTCTAGATGGTGGGTTTCTAGAGAATGGGTGCCATGCTTTAGGGTCTGGCTCAGGACCTTTCTAGAGTGCATGTGCAGTAAATGAAAATAGAATAGGCAACCTCAAGGCTACCCTTATGATATAATGGGTTTAGGCTACAATCATCAAGAGCTGCTAACATTACCACCTGTCCCGATGAAAGCTCACATCCCATCCTATGCAGTACTCTTGCCAAATAATCCAATCTTTTCAAGTCTCTTGATAAATGACAAATTTACAGAAAATACAAGTAATGAGAACATATTAAATGACATCACAGGGAAATAATCAGCAAAGACACTCATCACCCCCCCACCCCAAATACCCAGAATACAGAAAACGTCAAAGCAACCAACATGGTTACTTCAACAAATAAATGACAAGAGGGGGAAACAGGACAGAGAAAATAAGAGGGTACCATGTTTTCAAAGAGATTTAAGATATCTATCAACTAAATGCAATATGTGGACCTTATCTGGATCCTAATTTGGATAAATCAACAGTTTAAAAATTATGAGGCAATCAGGAAAATGGATGTATTCACTTTTTGATATTAGGGAATTAAAATTTTTTATGTGCTAATGATATTGTGGTTATTTCTAGTTATACATGTAGAATCTTCATCTGGAGGATGCATCTTAAAATATTCATGGATAAAATAATTCGATTCAAAATAATCCAATATACCAAGCAGGCGAGCCAAAGGGGAGGGTTAGAGATGAAAACTGACTGTAATGGGTCATTATAGAAACTGGGTAATAGACACATGAGGATTTATTACACTAATCTATTTCATTTTATTTATTTGTTGGTTTGTTTACTGAGATACAATCTTTCTCTGTCACCCAGGCTAGGGTGCAGGTGTGGCATCACTGCAACCTCAAACTCTTAGGCTCAAGTGATCTTCCTGCCTCAGCCTCTCGAGTAGTTGGGACTACAAGTGCATGCCACTGCACCCAGCTAATGCCTACTTTTAAATGTGTTTGATATTTTCCATAATATAAAACCATAGATTGTTCAGGGTGGCTCATGCCCATAATCCCAGCACTTTGGGAGGCTGAGGGGGGCAGGATCATGTGAGGCCAAGAGTTCAAGACCAACCTGGACAACATTGCAAGACCCCATTTATTTGTTTAAAATAAATAAGAAATCATTGGCCAAGCATGGCGGTGCCCTCCCATAGTACCAGCTACTTGGGGGCTGATATAGGAAGATGGTTCACTTGAGCCTAGGATTTCAAGGCTGCAATGAGCTGTGATTCTGCCTCTGCATTTTAGCCTGGTTGACAGAGTAAGATACTGTTTCTAAAATATAACAATAATAAAATAAAAATAAAATTTTAAAACACAGAAGGTGAGAGACAGGTCATAAGAAACCAGGATAAGGAGGAGGGTGATAAAATTGAAATGTGCTGAGTCTTACATTCCTCAAGAGATTATAGATGTTGAAACATTACCTACAGAACATTATAAGGTTTAAATATGTGTGTTAACAATTAAGATTAAAAATAAGACTAGAAACACCACGTATAACTTTCAAACCACTAAAAGGAAAAACTGGATCCAAAAAATTAATCCAAGTACACGTCAAAAAGCCTGCTTCATGCCCCAAGGTCATATAAATATTATTCTGTGGGTTTTTATACTTTTATAAGGAATCATTTCAGCTTTACACTCTTTAATCCATCTGTAATTTCTTGGAAGCTGATGAGAAATGAGAATCTAATTCCTGTTTTCCAAATAGGTAACCAATTGTCCCAGCATCCCTTATTGAATAATTCATCCCTTTCCCACTGATTTCAAATGCCAACTTTATTATATGTTCAATAATTATAGGCACTGGGGTCTGTCTTTGGGCCTTCTATTCTGTTCCACTGATCTGTCTTGTAGCACAGCAATATGGGTTTTAATTATAGTAGCTTTATAACATGTTACATCTTGGCAGGGCAAGTACTCCCTCATTATTCTTATTTCCAACATTTTCTTGGCTATCACTGCAAGTTTACTCTTCCAAGCAAACTTTAGAATCAGTTTGCAAGACTTTAGAAATACCAATAGAATCTTTGTTGAAATTATATTCAGTCAATTCTCATCCTCCAAAAAATGTCTCAGACTTTGACTGAAATTGTCTTAAATTCAGAAATTAAAGTCAAGATAACTGACATTTTTACATCTGTGTGTCTTTCCCCCAGGCACTGACTGTCCCCTTGTTGAAATCGTATTTCTTCATATAAATCCTACAGTTTTTCATCTCTTATTTTCTGAGGAATTCTTTTCACATGCTATTGTAAATCTGACATTTTTTCCCACTTTTCCCCCAACTGATCATTGTTTAAAAATAGGATAGCTAATATTTAGTTGCTTCCTTTAGTGCTTTCCAGATCGAAAAAAACATACTATCCCCAATAACAATATTTCTATTTTCTCCTTGCTGGTATACATGCCTCTCTTTCCCCCTTATCATATTTTCACATCTAGAATTTTCAGAACCACATCAAATAAAAGGGATGAAGGCACAGGCCCATTCCTGAGCACTCACCAGCTTCTCTCCCTCACTCTCTTTTTTATTATTATTATTTTTTTTATTGAATGGTAACTGTGTACATTGATGCACTTTGGGGGTACAGTGTGGTGTTTTCACACACAATCCGAGACACTTCCATCAAACTGGTTAACATAGCCTTCATGTAACTTTCTTAGTTATTGTGTTAAAACGTTCATATTCTACTCATAGAAAGATTCACTTGTACCCTTGCAAGATGAACCTTCACTCTCTACATGGCAATCATACGGCAAAGTTCTCCCCCTCTTCTCTAACTAACTTTGGGGATTATATAGTCCTTAAAAATATAAGAAGGGTTCTTCTCAAGTTTTGCCATCACCTTTTCTTACTCTTTCCTAACAACATATAGTGAGGGGGTCCCTCACTATTCTTCCCCTAGGTTTATCTTCTTTATTGTATATTTTATCATTCTGTCATAAAAGAAGCAAGATCGTGGATACATTTATCAACTACCCTGAGTTTTATTCTACTTGATTAGTTGCAACTTTAATGCTTTTTGGTCCTACGTATCTTGTATGGCTACACCCATTGCTTATTGTGTAGGAACATGAACTCTGGACTCTGATGACCAGGGTTGTATCCTGAGTCCATCATTTGCAAACCATAAAACTTAGGCCCATTACCTTCCTGCCCTGGGCATTAGTTTCTCTCTGAAAAAATGACAGTGATAACAGTACTCATATCATGATGGTGGTGCCAGAATTAAACGAGTTAAGCCATGATCAGAACTGTGCCTCCCATGTCCAGAGTACTCAACAAATGTCTGCCACTGTTATCTACCATTCTTCCTAAAGCTTCCTGAATTGACTATTCAATTAATTTACATCCCATTCCTCTTCATTAAAAATTTAAAGTTTTTTTAAGGCTAAAAATCCTGTCTTTTAAGTACAGTTTTGGCTGCATCTTACATTTTATATTCATGCCATCAATGTCCTAAGCTTCTAAGCGGTCTACGACTATGGTTTTAACTCCTTTTTTGACCCAAAACTATTTAGGAAAAGTTTTCCGCTCATTTTCAAGTAGCTGCTTTATTCTAGGATTTTTCTCCAAAATATCCAAAATATCAGTTATGATCTTCTTTGTCCTTATCCCTTTGGGGGATGGTGTGGCAGGGAGGGCTTGTTTTCTAGCAAACAAGCCCAAACAATTGTGGTTGTGTACCACGATTCCTGGTACATAACCGATACTCAGGAAATAAACGCTTGGTGAATGAATGAACAAAAAAATGAATAGAAAGAGAAGAAAACAACCAACTTCCTGGTTGATGAAGCTCCTGGCTGGTCCGTCCATATTCCACAACCAGGGACACTTGTCAGTCAACCGTTGACAAGGTCACTATAGGTAGCCTTCCAATTAGACACAGAAATAAATAATCCATCCCCACTGAAGACGAAATCAATATGCGGAATAACCTGCCAGTGTCCCAGGACGCTCCACAGCACGCTGGGAGCAGACTTAGGAGAGCTGATGATCTTCCAGTGAAGGTAATTCCCTTACACAGTGTGTTTCTGAAAAGTTGTGCAAATCAGATTTCCCATTAACTAAAACACTTTAAAGAAAATAGTAGGGCTGGCTATTTAAAGAAACAAACCAAATCATTATGTGATACAAATAAACACCCCCTCATTTCTATTTGGAAAATTCAGGGTAAAATCAGCTTTTCTTAAAGACAGAAGGCAAAATTTACTAAGC